AGTTTTTACCAAAAATGACAAAAATATTCACCAAAATTAGAGAATTAAAGATATCATTACAAAATGAACAAATCGGAGAGAGGTCCACATGTAGTACCTATATATGTAATATCAAAGCAATTGCACTTGCGGTTTTTAACAAGAAGTCGAAAATATCAGTTTTTACCAAAAATGACAAAAATATTCACCAAAATTAGAGAATTAAAGATATCAACATGAAATGAACAAACCTAAGAGAGGTCTACCCAAGGTACATATACACCAAGTATCAAAGCATTTAGGCTTGTAGTTGTCAAGAAGAAGTCGAAAAAGTAAAACATTGACACGGACGACGGACGACGGACGACGACGACGACGGACAATCACTCAAATGATAAGCTCCGCTCGACAAAGTCGACAGCGGAGCTAAAAAGTGACATACATACAGACAGACATACAGATATACAGACAGGGTAGCTGCAAAGACTCCCTTTTGTGCTTCGCACACGGGAGCAAAAGTCTATAATTTATGGTTTGTTGACCTCAAATAACATTTCTCAATAATGTTGTCACTTATTATTTGCATCAAGAAGATTTCAGAATTTGAAAAACAAGAAAAGGTCACCAACTCATTTCTATGGAGATTGGAAGAAATCTGTGAAGGTCACGAAAAAATATCGGTTACCCCTCAACTCAGCATATCCTTTATGATGCATCACTCACTAATTATGCTAATTCACTTAAATGTCATCAAAGAAATCAGAAATTGTTGTAGGGATCTTGAAAAACGACCACACTGAAGTAGATAATTATTCTGAATAATAATTATTACACTGAAAGGTGCTCTGTATTGCAAATATTATTGGTGCATGATCAATTTATGCATTTGTAGGCACTTAGTTTACGACCGGGAATTGTGGTGTAAAACAAGAGACCACTAAAGAGTTTAAACAGCATATACAATGCTATCCCATGATTCCATGTAATCCAATAAGACCTTTTAAGAATAGTGACATTTACCTTTTTCAGGTCTCTTGATCAGTAAAAACTCATCTTCGTTTTTACTGCTCTTTTTGACAATACAAACAGCAGTCTGCAATAGGAACATACAACTTCCAATGCATAAATTAGTTTGAATATTGCAAATATGAATGTTAGATGTGAAAGTAAATAAACAGATGGTATTAAACTTTGGTTTTTGCCAATAAAGACACGCAGGTAGAAAAGCATATTAAAACTGGGGGTTCCAACACAGTTTCTGTGCAGCTGCACTGCAGTCTCTCTGGGAATTCTGCGGTACTCTGCAGCAATACTTATGTAACCTCTGTTTCCCTGGCACAAAATGAAAATTTACTGCGATACCTCGCGTAATGCGTGGATCCAACGTCTGCCACAGTAATCAATAATGTTTTTTTCGTGGGTTATTCGAACTTGAATTTCCCTTTTTACTGCTCAATGTTAAAATATCAATTTCATACCAATCTTTCAGAGAGAAATATGGTGTTATTTCATCAAAATTGAACCCCTCAAAATGCATAGCACATTATTAAGTCTAAAAATACCCAAAAAATAGTTTTGTGTTTGTTAAATCCCATGCAATGTTTCGAAACCACTATGATGCTATGACTTTTACTTGCCCTGTTTTTACATTCAATTTCACATGTAATGTGTGATCTCCCAGTGAACAGTCTATTAGAACAGCTTATTAGAATTAATGTGTTCTCAAAATTCATCGTTTTTGATGAAATTAATTAAAAACTCCAGTAGAGGCGAATCCCCGATAGAAGCACACTTGAATAAAAATAGCATTTATTGTATACTAAACACAATTTTGTCTCAAACTATGAATAATCAAATATTGTACCTTTTCTTCTCTTGCTGGTTTTTTTCTTGATTTTCTTGGAAAATTCATAACTCCCAGATTACTATCCCATGATTCATCATTTGGAATACATAATTTACATCCACTAGATACTGGAATAATAAAATAAAGTCACAGAGTATAATTGTATAAGGATTTACTCATTTAAAAAGATGAGGGTAACTGGTCAATTTGGAAAATAAATTGCTGGTAATTTCCCGACTTGACTCGATAAAGAACAAAATTTTGAATAAGAAATTGTTGTGTGGTATAAGTACATAAAATTGCACAATTCCGCCATACTACCACTCATTTCAAATGTACAAAAGTCATGAGAACACACATTATGATGAGTTTTTCAACAAAAATAGAAATATTAAAACAGGACTTAAACTTAAGAGTTGAGAAGGCACCCAGTTTCAATGCCAAAATTTATAAAACTACTGGGGTATATAGAGAATGTATTTTTTGAAGGACAACAATAACTTGTTGCTAGTTATAAGAGTATCAAGGGAAAAGCTTTTGATGCCATTGTGAAGTATTAAATGGTTTCCCATAAACCAATTAAGATAAGAAAATTCATCGCAATAATTATTATTCCACTAAGGGTATGCAAATGACAGCCGACAATACAATGACACAAAGGAACCATGGTTCAATGGTTATTATGCTGAACTGGCAATAACAGGCTGTTTGTGTTTTTTTGTAAAGATACGCCAGTATGAGTAGTGATCCCTATGCTAATACATATATAATAGAACGTCTTCTGAGATGTAAACAGTATTTCCACTTCAAGCCTACTCACAACTGTAAAATTGTACTGATCAACCTTTAGGCCGGTCTTGCAATGAAAACAAAAGCAGCAAGATATTCCGCTATTCAGAAATATAAGCATGGCACGTGAAATCATAAGCAATCATTAATACAAGTAATCAAATATTTAACCTCCATTGCATTTTATGAAATTCTAATGTAAAATGGTCCTTTAGGAGTGAAAAGAAGACAAATGTGACAGTCATAATGTCTTCTTAGGATTAAAGAATGAGTGAATAGTTAATCAGTGCAGACAGATTTGTGACAAAGACGCCATACGAGTCTAATCCCATACAGATGCGCTTCTCACGATTTCAGAGAAATAAATATGTGTATACACACAAAGCACCTTACTGGCTGGATTACATCTATTGCTAGGATCAAGTGGTTTCAAACACACCATACATTTAAATCTAGATTTGTGCAGCAGCAGCAATCTGTCTTATTCTGTGATAGAAGAGTACAACAAATAAGATTGATGACAATCATGCCTATAAACATTATAATATTTTAATAATACAACAATTAATCAAAGAAAGGCTTAGAAAATAAAATTTAAGATTATCCTTTTTAAACGAGAAGCATGTCAGCTAATATAGCTCTGCTCTTTGAGTTGCACAATGGGAAAGCAATCTGTTCTACAGAGCTGACAGTTCAATATTAACAGACAATTATGAAAATATAAATTTAAATATGATATGTGGTTATTGAGATATCAGGACATTGCATCAGTGTCCATACACGTTCACTGTGGTTGTGATCATTTCTCAGCCCAACAGTTGCTGCACACTTCCCTTGGTTCAGTCAGTGTCTGGTTTCTCAGCTAGGTCTGCCAACTATCGGCATCTAAATCACAGCTCGTCTAGTCTCATAAACCGTCAACTCAGAAATATGCACCAAGTAGTTTGGAGCTCACTCTTTTTTAGTTTTATTTGTAAATTCTTTTTGTGTCAGGTGACAGTTAGGGATATTGAATGTTACTGTTGTCTCACTTGACAACAATGCTTACATGTGTATTTTTACCACAGACACCATATTTCTGTTTGTTGACAGGGTTGTATGACCATCTTCCTATCATAATAGCATTATAGCAATTGCACTATCCTGGCATAAATTAGGCCCAGGTACTTGCGGACCTTAACCATGGTACACCCAAAGTCATTTTCGTTAGTGAATGAATCTCCACCAGTGGATTTAGCCTTCCTATTGAGTCTATGGTACATTAACACAGGGTAGGGGGTTGACTCTTTTTATTTTCAACCCGAGATGAGATTTGAATCTTGGTCTACTGAACATGAGTCAATTCTACAACCACTATATGCTACAGGTGACTGTTTGAAGCTCATCCTAATGTATTGTTTCAGTTCAGTCGTTACACGTAACCAACTAAAGTTAGTCTGTAATGATAATTGGAGTTTGAGTTTCAAACTCCTCTGAAAAGCTAAAATACTGACTTTCTTTATCACCAACCATCAACATATTGTCTAACAGTCGAAACCAATGTTTCCCAATACCTCAAGCAAAAATGTTTTGCTCACCAACTGCGTTGATATATTCCAACTTTCACACAGTTTCCACTCATTGTAAATACAAGTAGTACCTTGAGTCAGCTAACGTTTGACCAAACACGACTCATTTTATTAGACAGAATGTTTCATCCTTACGCCACAGTCATTTCTCGTATAATTTATTCATGATTATAATCCAGTAATTCAATTGGTTAAATCAACAAACAAATAAATAAAGGTCACAAAGTTGTGACATCCCATAGTTACTTTTATTTGATTTTTAGGAATACAAGCTAATTATAATTTGGTAAACCCAGCACAATTAGGCTCTAGACCAATCAAAGTTAAGACTGATTTAATTGTAGTACAGAAATCTTATCACTGGGTTTCGTTTTATAATTTGATAAGAAAGATACTGACCCGAAAAATACATAATGAAAAATAACACATCACGTTACTGCACTATCTAAAATATATGGAAGAATGATTATTTTCCTCTGCATCTGCTTCAAATGATCAGCAGTTTAAAAGTTTTCATATCTGTCCACTTATTTCTATGTCTAACAAATTTTGCATATCATACACTCAAGTTATCTCTGAACTTATATTGTTCAATAAAATGGTCGACAAAAAATGTTTGACTTTATACTGTAAGAAGAAAATTATTCCAGTTACATTTTCACTAATATCTTGAAAAATATACCTGCATGACCATCCCATATAGAACTTGTCTATGATCACAAAGTTTGAGTTATTGTGATCAAGGTAAAAACAACGAGAATTTGAAAATCATGAACAATTTGAAATGACATTTGAATAACAGTGATTGAATTAACCACTAATTGACAGTCACTGCAGAGATTCTTGTGGCTGTTTAGAACATAATATTATTCCAACTTCTTGTCAACTTTTAGGTGAAAATTATGCATAAATCATGCCAAACTATATACAGTAAACTAACATAAAAATTATATTCTATAAATATTCATTATGACTCAGGGCAGATGCATCACCATAGAGTGCAATTTGCATACTGATTTGCATCCTAATTTGCATACTGGTCACCATCTTTCCTTTCGTACACCCAGAGCCATGGTTACATAGTCTACTTATCATATTTGCTGATTTTTTTTTACTTCATATCATGTTTCTATATAAAATATATAAATAAATAAATAAAAACCAAACTATGAATAATACAGCATATTTGAAAAAAAACATGAAATCCATCAAATTGAGGCGTAAAGAATCGCCTGTGGCAGTAATCAGTCGTGACTTGGAGAATAAAAATGTTGCATACACATTTTATGTTCATCAGATTTATCTGGAGGCAAGTGTGCAAACCGATATACAATTCTAATGAAGAAACACGATAAGGTAAGAAATATCTGTCTTTAATAGTGTCTTTGTATTCTGATAGAAGACATGAAATTAGAACACTAATTAATGTACACAATCATTTATATCAAACCCTTCAGGGGTGAAATGGTTGTAAGTTGAGTCAATATATTCCTTAAAGCACATATACAATGATTTACTCAAGTGATTAATCTTGTTTGTTTGAGTTAAATGATGTATGCTAAGTTCTGATTATGTTTGTTGTGTTATTATATTGTA